CAATGGGTGGGGGAGCAGCACAGGGGGTGAGCTTTCTGCCCAACCTGGATTTGGTCAAAGTTGTTGCACAGAATCTGACATTTCTGAGCGGTGTTCTGCTTTAATACCCCCTTGATAAAGGTGTCACCTCCTCCTCATTGGTTCTGCTTCTCCCTCCCCCAGGAGCCGTATTATGTGCGCTGCATTAAGCCCAACGACCAGAAGTCGCCGTTGCTGTTCGATGACCGCCGCTGCCTCCATCAGGTGGAGTATCTGGGGCTCCTGGAGAACCTGCGGGTCAGGAGGGCCGGGTTTGCCTACAGGCAGCCCTACGACAGATTCCTGCAGAGGTAAAGTGTGATGTCAATATGGGGCTTTGGCCACCCCTGCCCTAGGTGGAGCCAAGGAGTGTAAGAATTTACCATGCTCCTTGGCGCCATCTAGTGGCTGTAAGGCAGTGCGAACGGCATCTGTCTCATGGGATTTGTAGTTCCACCCACAGCTGGAGGGCCGGAGTTTGGCCACCCCTGCCCTAGGTGGAGCCAAGGAGTGTAAGAATTTACCATGCTCCTTGGCGCCATCTAGTGGCTGTAAGGCAGTGCGAACGGCATCTGTCTCATGGGATTTGTAGTTCCACCCACAGCTGGAGGGCAGGAGTTTGGCCACCCCTGCCCTAGGTGGAGCCAAGGAGTGTAAGAATTTACCATGCTCCTTGGCGCCATCTAGTGGCTGTAAGGCAGTGCGAACGGCATCTGCCTCATGGGATTTGTAGTTCCACCCACAGCTGGAGGGCCGGTGTTTGGCCACCCCTGCCCTAGATGGAGCCAAGGAGTGTAAGAATTTCCCATGCTCCTTGGCGCCATCTAGTGGCTGTGAGGCAGTGCGAACGGCATCTGCCCAGCTGTACGCTGTGCGAAGCCCGGAGCTGGGCATATTGTGGTCGGGTTTGCCTGTGTCTTCTCATTGTGTTTCGCTCATGTTCGTTCTTCATCTGGATTTCCGTTCTCCTGGAGGGAATTCCTCATCTCAATAACATGTGATTGATTTTTAAGTATTGATTGTCCTCAAATGGTGACTCATTGGTTTTACTAACAACTCGTCAATATAGTTTCCCAAGATTCCACATTTCCGGCACTTAAAATAGGGTTGGTCCAAAAAAAAAACCAATATGATGGTACTTACCATAATCCCCCCCCCCCACCCCAAATGT